TAACAAAATAATACTTTTTTCATATAGTTCGGTAGTTTCAATTATTTTAAACAAAAAAAAAACTAAAATTTTTAAAAGTAAAAATAAATAATTGAAACAAAATATAAAATTCGAACTCAAGACTGTGTATAAATGTTTCTACGGATATAGTGCAATCTGATGATTGCTAATGTGCGATACATATAACATTACTGTGCACTCAAAGTACAAATCTTTTTTACAAAAATATATTTATTATTCTAATATTTTTATTTAATATTAAATTAATTTTCAGTTTAAAATATAATACATTTGTTATATATAATTTGTAATTTAAATATCAAAGTAATTTATTATTTATTATAAAATTATATTCAATATGTTAATATGCAAATTTAATATTTTATAGTATCGTTTTGGTTAAAAATACATAATATATGTATAACAATATATATAAAAATAATATTTGTATAAATTGTGGAATTGGCCCATTAACTCAATTGTAATTTTTTTAAAATTTAGAAAATTTCAATTAGGTCCCTCAAAACTATCTAATTCTCAAAACACATTCAACCCAAATTCAACCCAAAATTGAATCCGCCTGCAAACTTTTCAATATCACTATGCTGGAAATTCAATATCAGAAGAGAAGAAAGAGAGCAAAACCATCTTGAAAATGCGGGTGCTAATAAAAACGCCAACACATTCAACCCAAAATTTAAGTCGCCGACAAACTTTTAAGAAATCAACCACCACCGTGACCTACAGCACTCGCCGGATATTGGCGCAGGTCCAGCCGCCGTCGGGATGCGAGAAGGAGCGGTCGGAGAGGCCAATTTTGCTTTCAATTTTGACGAGGAAGAGATTCCGCAGAGCCAGTTGGGGCGGCCGGTCTAGGGACCGAGGCGACGCCGATGAAGGCATTTAGACGTTGAAGGTCATTTTCGAGGCCGTCGGAGGATGGTGAACTCGGTGAGTGGTGTCGCGTGCCTCCTCTGGGCAGTAACTCTGGCGACGGACCTGTTGGAGAAGAGTCAGCGATTTCGGTAACTGGAGGTTTGCTCTAGCAGTTGCGGAGGCACGACGTTTCCTGACATCGCGGCAGCGAAGGCAGCACTTTCAGGTGGTGGGGCGGCGGGCAGTGACCGTCGGGAGGAATTGTGAATTAACGGGAAGGTGTGAGTGTGTGTGTGTGTGAGAGAGA